GGCAGTCTGACTGAAGTATTCTATGTAGCGAACAGAGCAGCGTAACAATCCTGTTTGAGTCGTCAGGCAAACAGAACATAGGCTCACATATCTCATTACATTTCTTCATAATGTATTATTGCTTCAACCCCACCCTGCACTCACAGATGCGCAAGGGTGCATACACACACCTGCACGCTTTCCACTGTGTCTCTGAGTCACTTCCCTCTGAGTTCCCTCTCGCTCAAGACTTGGAGCCTGAGATCCATCTCTCCTCCATCTCTCCACCCGTTCTTTATTTGAGCTTATCAATTCAGCCCACATACTGGAGCAGATGAGTGAATGCTTCATTGCAGGGTGATTTGCCCACTGCGGTATGCTGAGAGTGTCCTCTTAAGAATGAGAAATGGAGTAGAGCATGTCTCTCCTAGATTGGCCAGTTAGCATGGGGAATATAAGGAGGTTTTAAATGGAGAGTTTCAGACTGTCTGTAATTTGCTGTTCTGTATTCACATCACTGTTGTAATGGAAGGTAGAATGTCAGTGGCTCATATTGTAGGTGGAAGAATATGGTTGTTGTTTGATACATGGACACACTGCATATAAACAGTGAATGGTGTTGGGTCAGTGTGACCGTTACCCTAGTGGTGGACTGTGGATCATTTACATGTGCTGTGTGACCAGTTAACTCAGTGCTACTGTTCTCTTCCTGCCAGCTTGTCCGGACAGCCAACTACATTACATTACAAAATACCCTAATGCGTTTCCTGTGGAGCCTGAACATGAAACAAGCAACATGACGTCATCTGAGAATTCCCAGAAAATTGGTACAGAAATGCTAATGCTAAGTCTTGCTTAAGGCTATGTGATGTATGATGGAGGCAGGGCTGGCCACACTGCCACTCCTGGACGGCCAGCCCTCTCCTCTTCTCCAGTCACAAGTCACATAGCATGAAGGCAGTGAGTTGACAGCTGCCAGTAAAATGAATCTCCTCTCCCTCTCTTCCCCTGGGGCCTCATTTATAAACCGTGTGTACATACAAAATATACCCCAAAATGTTTGTGCACCAGTTTGACGTGAGAATGTGTTCACCTCCCCACAAACTTTAGACCATGCTTACACACATCTGCTAGTGGTTGGAATATTGTATTGCAAGCTGTAAGTAAGTATTTTGTGCAAATGGGGGTTATGATGAAAAGCTTATTCATACAAATTTAAAAACAGGAAAACGTTTTGACAAGAATGCATCCATTTGCCATTAGTGAGAAGAGCGAAAATCAATGTTTTATTTGTAGAATTTAAAATAGACATATGAATCTTATAATTAGACTTGATTTTATTTTGATAACCATTGCAGAATATACCTCACCTTTTCTGGCCGTGATAAGGTTCATTTTCCTGAAGGAGCCATACAACAAATTACCATGCGCATCTCTCATTTAATTGGACCTAGTAGCCTAGTAAATAAAAAGGTTATAACCTATGTATTTCAAGTTTTTCAATATAATAGGCAGCGTGATTTATAATATCGCTATACAGTCGGATTTAACAGGTGATCTTTTACATTGAAGTAGGTCTATGTATCTAGTTTCACGTTTTTGTCACGTGCACAAGTACAGTGAAATGCCTTTTTTGCTTGCTATTTCTCAACAATGCAGTAATGAATATCAGTAGTACTTTTTAAAAAGTCAAGTAGGAGAATGAGAAATGGAACTAACTACTGTAAGTACTGTAATTGTGTTTTTTTTAGTAGCCTGCCCTACAATGTTTCAGAATTTTAGGTTGGGTGAAAAGTCAAGATAAAACATTGTTGAATTGAAACCTTCTGCTGATAGATCCATAACAATTAGCCATTGTTTTCTCGTCCAGAAACTGACAGTCATTTTCCAGATACAGTATAAATTACTGCTAAAGATTAAATCAAATCAAAATCAAATCAAATTGTATTTTGTCACATCTGCCGAATACAACAGGTGTAGACCTTACAGTGAAATGCTTACTTACAAGCCCTTAACCAACAATGCCGTTTTAAGAAGAATAAGTGTTAAGTAAAAAATAGATAAGAAAAATATACAAATTAAATAAAAAAATTAAAAGGCATTCTGCCAACACAGTAAATAGACCAGTAGCTTATGTAAAATATTTAACATTATGGGTAGGCTACAGTATTGCTGTGAGTGTGATAGTAGCGCAACATTGCCTATTTATTCTCAGTCTATACCAAGGCAGCACATATTTATGTTTACATCATTTAGAAGATATATAAACTAAATCTATTGATAAACTAAATATTGAACAACAATTCGTCTTTTGCATGCCGTGGCCTAATGATGCCAATACTTGCATTATTATACAGAATTATTATTATACAGAAAATAAAGGGCGTTATTGTTTAAATTAAAGCCATTAAAGCCATTAAAAGGTTTTGCCATTAGTTTTAATGCTTGTTCACGCGTGTACAGACCTGTACGACAGGTCTGATTTTATAACGGGAAACATTTGTACGTCCAAAGACTTTTCAGAAATGGCGCATGCAGAAATGAATGCAACGGTTATAAATGAGGCCCCTGGTCTGTGCCAATTCCTGTGTGTGACAGAGTTCCCGAGCGAGAAAGCAAGTGTGGAGCTACACTATATATACAAAAGTATGTGGACACCCCTTCAAATTAGTGGATTTGGCTATTTCAACCACACCCGTTGCTGACCGGTGTATAAAATCGAGCACACAGCCATGCAATCTCCAAAGGTAAACATTGGCATTAGAATGGCCTTACTGAAGAGCTCAGTGACTTTCAACGTGCCGCTGTCATAGGATGCCACTTCCAACAAGTCGGTCAAATTTCTGCCCTGCTAGAGCTGCCCCAGTCAACTGTAAGTGCTGTTATTGTGAAGTGGAAACGTCTAGGAGCAACAACGGCTCAGCCGCAAAGTGGTAGGCCACACAAGCTCACACGGGACCACCGAGTGCTTAAGAGTGTTGCGCGTACAAATCGTCTGTCCTTGGTGGCAACATTCACTACTGAGTTCCAAACTGTCTCTGGAAGCAACGTCTGTACAATAACTGTTTGTCGGAAGCTTTATGAAATGGGTTTCCATGCGATGAATCACTCTTCACCATCTGGGAGTCCGACAGACGAATCTGGGTCTGGCGGATGCCAGGAGAACGCTACCTGCCCAAATGCATAGATGCCAACTGTAAAGTTTGGTTGCAGTGAAGGGAAATCTTAACACTACAGCATACAATGACATTTTTTACGGTTCTGTGCTTTCAACTCTGTGGCAATAGTTTGGGGAAAGCCCTTTCCTATTTCAGCATGACAATGCCCTGTGCACAAAGCGAGATCCATACAGAAATGGTTTGTCGAGATCAGTGTGGAAGAACCTGACTGGCCTGCACAGAGCCCTGACCTTAACCCCATTGAATACCTTTGGGATGAATTGGAACGCCGACTGCAAGCCAGGCCTAATCGCCCAACATCAGTGCCCGACCTCACTGATGCTCTTGTGTCTGCTGCGGGAACTTGCTTCCATTCAATGTTCCAACATTGGGGAAAGCCTTCCCAGAAGAGTGGAGGCTGTGATAGCAGCAAAAGGGGGACCAACTCCATATTAATGCCCACGATTTTGGAATTAGATATTCGACGAGCAGGTGTCCACATACTTTTGGCCACGTAGTGTGCTCGCGCCCGTGCTCTGAGACCGTGGCAGATGAGCTCGCCTCACCACCGGCTGGACTGCAAAAATAAATATGAGTGCCGATAAGACCAAGAATATCCTTTTTGTGAAAGCACTCAGACGTTTTCACTAAAGGTTAATGATGATAAAGTGTCTCGTCTCAGAGGCTGTGGGGAGGGAGGGTTACAACAGGACAGGGTCCCTCTGAAGTTTAGACACAGGATGTGGTGTTGGCACAGGAGTTATGAAACTCAGTGAAACACTATGAACAAGTGACGCACTCACCGAGTGGAGAGGGGGCCTCACGATACGATATTATCATACTTAGGTGCCGATTTATGATGTTTTGCGATTCTCACGATTCTATATGTATTGTGATTTCAATATTGAGGTTTGATGTTCAAACATAATGATCACTATGTCTGCTACAGAGAGATGATAGAGCATAAATGAGTTTTGATCAGGCATGGAAATAAGTGCTGAAAACATTTTGGCTCACTATTTAAAAAGAAGATGGAGAACAAGCTATAGGATGAAAAATACCAGCATTTTGGCACAGGTATAGCTGACTAGCGCTAGCTAGCGCTACCTAGCAAAAAACAAACAATATACTGAACAAAAATATAAACGCAACAAGCAACAATTGGGAATACAGATATGCATCTGTTGGTCACAGATAACTTAACTTAAAAAAGTAGATGTGTGGATCAGCAAACCAGTCAGTATCTGGTGTGACCACAATTTCCTTCAAGTAGCACGACACATCTCTTTCGCATAAAGTTGATCAGGCTGTTGAATGTTGTCCCATTCCTCTTCAATGGCCGCAGCACAAGGTGCACCTGTGTAATGATCATGCTGTTTAATCAGCTTCTTGATGTGCCACACTTGTCAGGTGGATGGATTATCTTGGCGAAGGAGAAATGCTCACTAACAGGGATGTTAGCAAATTTGTGCACAAAATTTGAGATATAAGCTTTTTGTGTATATGGACAATTTCTGGGATATTTTATTTCAGATCATGAAACATGGGACCAACACTTTACAAATTGCATTTATATTTCTATTCAGTGTATGTATATTTATTTAGTTATTTATAGATTTTTCTACAAATCAAGACTTGGAGTCAAATATCGATAGAATGCCGTCCAAAAATAATATTGCGATATGTAACTATCGATTGTCTTCCCCATCACTACTCAGAGGCAAAGAGACACTACCGTTTATACACTGTATGCACTACTGTAGATTGACATGACTGTTAAGCTGTAACTTGAAAGGGAGTGCCTGGCAGGCAGATTCACTCAGAGAAAAGAAGAGAGGGAGAGAGGCCTGATGAGGAGGCGGGATGGTGGGGTATTCAGGAGTCCAGATGTGAGGTGGCCTCGCTGGCTGCCTGTTTACATTTCACCGCTAATGGGAGCATATTTTTAACCGCTGCCTTTTTTTGTTCTCTGTGCAGGTGCTGGAGAGTCGGGGAAGAGCACTATTGTGAAACAGATGAAGTAAGTAGAGCTGCCTGCCTGGCTCCTCATTGTTTTAGTTGTTTTGCTGCTGTTCCTGTCAAGCATGAGCAATTAACCCAATATCGCAACCAGACTCTGTCATTATCAACACAAGCAGACAGGGACAGTACATTCTTAAGCTAGGTTCCCGGAATCCTCTACATATCCTTTCTCCCAGAGTCCATGCCCTCATGCTATATACCTACAGTCTGAAGCCTGTTTCTTTCTCAGCTGTTACATTCGTATGGGTTAGAGGCCTCCCCAGGAATGGACAGCCGTCACACACACACACACACACACACACACACACACACACACACACACACACACACACACACACACACAGGCAGCTGTATCTTCCCCCACATAGCAGCAGATAAATACCTATGGACTGGAGGAGTTTCTCTCACCATGATTAAGGCATTAACACTCTCCCTGCTAACTGATATTCCAAGCAGCTACTCTGACAGTAAAGTATGCAGTTAGCTTAAGGCAACGCTTTACAGGATGCCCCCTATTAGACACGCTGGATCATTTAGAACATATAGAGAGGATACAGGTTATTAGCCCCTGGTAGCAGATCTGGACCTGTATGTTCTGTATCACTCCTTTGTCATGTTTGTTGTCATACCAAACTGGCTGGTTGTATTATAATACCCCCTTCACCTGTCCTTGGACCATGCAGGTTTTTACAGGAGCGGCTCTGGAGGCACTGTTGTCTCTGTATAGCCCCGCTGCTCAATCTCACAAATGAACACGCACTTAAACACTCAATCCCTCTCACGGACACAAGCGCGGACATTCATGAACACATACACAGATGTTACTACCTGGAATACCGAAGCACACACACCTACTCTCCCGACACATGCATACAGATCCATGCAAGCACACACAATGATCCGTTATATATACACTCACACTCTTCACTCGATGGTTTAATTATTCCTCCATATTTTTCTGGACGTGCCGTGCTTTCAATACATCTTTCATCTACTCACACAGACCACTTCAACTGACGCTATTAAACCATTTCTCTCTCACACATACACCCCCCCCCCCCCCCCCCCCCCCCCAAATGTTGTAATGTGCAAACACTTTGTCAAAACAGTCCTGATGAAATCTCTTTCTACGTTGCCCCTTAGAAAGTACCTTATTTTCACTTGAAAATGATTGTAATTGTGTTCTGTTTAAATAACTTCAGGGCTCCACTTACAAGGAAAAGGCTTCATCAAGATTTACTCGGAATTTCAAAATTGAACTTAGATTTCAGGATATGAATCTGCCGTGGTTCTTCTTGACTATTACCCTTATTAATTTGCAATATCATCCGGTTCTTGGAAAATGTCTCTGCATGAAATCTAATGAGATATTTTTGGGAATTACGTTTTTGTTAAATTGGACATGACTTTACACAACTAAATCTCCCTGGCCCACATCCAACCTCCCCAGCCAGCGTGGATCTTAGATAAGATTTAGTGTATCTGTTTCAATTGAAGTTGAAAAAAAACACTTCCGTGGGCTCATTCTTTAAGTCTGTGTTGGCCTTCGTCCTAGTGGTCTCCCTTGCATTACAATGAGGTTCGATTGAGATCGCCTCACAGCCAATCAGCAGCCATCTGGAATTCGCAGGGCCTCACTTTCCCAGAGGGCATTGTTGTGAATAGACAGAGAAAATATGCACAGCCTAGGGGCTCCTGTCATGGCCTGGCCACTTTTCACTGTCGACATCTTTTTCGGTCTCCCTCCATACTGTAGTCCATATTTGTTTTAGTTGTAGTACTCTCCAGCACCTGGCTCTCAGCAGAGACCTGAGCTGCCCCCAAAGCCTCAAACCAGTAACGTCAGTCATGCATAGTACCGTAATCTGTATAGTACAACCAATTATTTATATACTAAATGTGTCTTCTGATGGCTTGGTTTTATTTAAAAAATGAATGGACAAACATGGAGATGTAAACACTGACATTGAGTGTTATTGAGCAAGATTTTAGTGACACCTGCGTTGCTATATTTAAGAGCTGCGCTTGTGTGTGCAAGTGTGTCTGTGCATGTGTGACCCAACGCCCTCTCTTTTTCCTGTGCCTGTCAGGATCATCCATGAGGATGGCTACTCAGAAGAGGAGTGTAAGCAGTACAGAGCTGTGGTCTACAGCAACACCATCCAGTCCATCATGGCCATCATCAAGGCCATGGCCAACCTCAAGATCGACTACGAAGACGCAGCCAGAGCGGTAACACACACACACACACACACACACACACACACACACACACACACACAGTGTCTGAGCCCATCCACCAGAGCTGCCACTGTTCTCTCTTCATACACTCCACTGCTGCTCCAAAGGCCAACCAGACCTTGAACCGCTCCCACTCTTCTCCAACACAAACTTCTCCACTCTGTCCCTCTTATCAAATAAACGTTTGTTGGTCGCTACACATATTTGCAGATGTTATCGCAGGTGCAGTGAAATGCTTGTGTTTCTAGCTCCAACAGTGCAGTAATAATACCTAGCAATTATTTTTTACAAAACAATATGCACATAATCCAAAAATATATTAATTTAATATATATACACACAAACACACACACCGCACAGTTTATTAAGTACGCTACCCCGTTCATGAAAATGCATCGCTCCTACAGACAGTGAGTCGCATTTCTGTGGCTGGATATATAAAGCAGGCAGACCGGTATCGAGGCATTCTGTTACTGTTCGATTGAACATTAGAATGGGCAAAACGAGTGACCTAAGCGACTTTGAGCGTGGTATGATCACCGGTGCCAGGCACTCCGGATTCAATATCTCAAACGGCCACCCTCCTGGGCTTTTCACGCACGACAGACAATGGTGCGACAAACAAAAACCATCCAGTCAGCGGCAGTCCTCTGGGCAAAAACAGCTTGTTGATGAGAGAGGTCAAAGGAGAATGACAGGAATCGATCAAGCTAACAGTCGGGCCACAAACAGGCAAATAACGTTGCAGCAGAACAGCATCTCAGAACGCACAACTTGTCGATCCTTGTCACGGATGGGCTGTTGCAGTAGACGACCACACTGGGTTTCACTCCTATCAATTAAAAAGAAGTGGCTGTTTTGGCGTATTGCTGCAGAATGCTGTGGTAGCCATGCTGGTTAAATGTGCCTTGAGTTCTAAATACATCACAGACAGTGTCACCAGCAAAGCACCATTGCGCCACCTCCTCCATGCTTCACGGTGGGAACCACACATGTGGAGATCATCCACACACACACAGTGCGTACATATACAGTGCATTCGGAAAGTATTCAGACCCCTTCCCTTTTTCCACATTTTGTTACGTTACAGCCTTATTCTTAAATGGATTAAATAACAATCTTAATCAATCTACACACAATATCCCATAATGACAAAGCGAAAACCGGTTTTTATGACATTTTTGCGAATGTTTTAAAAATCAAAAAACGAATACCTTATTTACATAAGTATTCAGACCCTTTACTATGAGACTTGAAATTGAGTTCAGGTGCATCTTGTTTCCATTGATCATCCTTGATGTTTCTACAACTTGATTAGAGTCCACTTGTGGTAAATTCAATTGATTGGACATGATTTGGAAAGGCACACACCTGTCTATATAAGGTCCCACAGTTGACAGTGCATGTCCGAGCAAAAACCAAAGCCATCAGGTCGAAGGTTTTTCCGTAGAGCTCCGAGACAGGATTTTGTCGAGGCACAGATCTGGGGAAGGGTACCAAAACATTTCTGCAGCATTGAAGGTCCCCAAGAACACAGTGGCCTCCATCATTCTTAAATGGAAGAAGTTTTGACCCACCAAGAATCTTCCTAGAGCTGGCCTCCTGGCCAAACTGAGCAATCTGGGGAGAAGGGCCTTGGTCAGGGAGGTGACCAAGAACCCGATGATCACTCTAGCAGAGCTCTAGAGTTCCTCTGTGGAGATGGGAGAACCTTCCAGAAGGACAACTATCTCTGCAGCACTCCACCAATCAGGCCTTTATGGTAGACTGGCCAGACGGAAGCCACTCTTCAGTAAAAGGCACATGACAGCCGCTTGGAGTTTGCCAAAAGGCACCTAAAGGATTCTCAGACCATGAGAAACAAGATTCTCTGGTCTGATGAAACCAAGATTGAACTCTTTGGCCTGAATGCCAAGCGTCTCTTCTGGAGGAAACCTGGCACCATCCCTACGGTGAAGCATGGTGGTGGCAGCATCATGCTGTGGGGATGTTTTTCAGCGGCAGGGACTGGGAGATTAGTCAGGATCGAGGGGAATAATGAATGGAGCAAAGTACAGAGAGATCCTTGATGAAAACCTGCTCCAGAGCGCTCAGGACCTCAGACTGGTGTGAAGGTTCACCTTCCAACAGGACAACAACCCTAAGCACACAGCCAAGACAACGCACGAGTGCCTTCGGGACAAGTCTCTGCATGTCCTTGAGTGGCCCAGCCAGATTCCAGACTTGAACCTGATCGAACATCTCTCGAGAGAGATCTGAAAATAGCTGTGCAGCAACACTCCCCATCCAACCTGATAGAGCTTGAGAGGATCTGCAGAGAAGAATGGGAGAAATTCCCCAAATACAGGTGTGCCAAGCTTGTAGCGTCATACCCAAGAAGACTCTCTAGGCTGTAATCGCTGCCAAAGGTGCTTCAACAAAGTACTGAGTAAAGGGTCTGAATACTTATGTAAATGTGGTATTTCATTTGTTTATTTTTAACATTTTAAACATTTCTAAACCTGTTTTTGCTTTGTCATTATGGGGTGTTGTGTGTAGATTGATGAGGAAAAAATACTATTTTATCCATTTTAGAATAAGGCTTTAACATAACAAAATGTGGATAAAGTCAAGGGGTCCGAATACGCTGTATGTATGTATGTAACTGTGTGTATGGACAGTATATGAATAGAAAAGGTGTGTGTATAGCAGTGGTTATATAGGATGAGCCATGACTAGAATGCAATATATACATGTAAAGTGCGTAAAACAGTATGTAAACATTATAACGTGACCAATGTTCAATGACTATGTATGTAGGGCAAAGCAGTCTCTAAGGTGCAGGGTAGCCGGCTAGTAACAGTGACTAAGGTTCAGGGACAGGGTACTGGGCGGAGGCCGGCTAGTGTTGACTGTTTAGCTGTCTGATGACCTGGAGATAGAAGCTGTTTATCAGTCTCTCGGTCGCAGCATTGATGCACCTGTACTAGTCTCTAGTCCAGCTCTAGTCTGTCTGAAGTGAGACCGGGGAAATTATCTGGCTCAAATATCACTTCTTCCTGGAGTGCTAAGTGCCAATAGCACCCAGACAGTTTAGAGTTTCGAGTAGTATAGCCTCCCAGACCTTTGTATGAGGTGGAGTGAGTGCCATAAAGTGATGTGCCATGTGTACTCAGTCCTGCTGCCCATGTGTGTGTCATTAGATTAGAGGGACCACTGCAGAGCTGAGCTGCCTGTCTGGCCAGTGGGCACTACTGAGAGAGATGACACAGCAATACAAAACAATCCATGTGTTCTTAGTAAGAGACAATTTAGTCATGCCCCCCATGTTTCTCCCAAATATGATTTACAGATCCTCTCTATGCAGATAGGAATCTTATGAAAGATTTGCCTGTCCTTTTTATTACCAAACTATCAAGTATTAATAGCTGAGCAATTTGTCCACTCTCTTTAAAATGTCCAGGATTTGATTTAATCAAGTGTTGAGATAAAGACCTTATTGTGTACTACTTGCCAGTACTACTTGCTAGTGGAGACGAGGTATGGAGAGAGCAGGGTGTTCCCCAATTGGAGGTAGCTAGCTCTGCAAGACATATTACTGCTACAAATCTCTGCAGGTCTGGCAGTGTCTTGAATTAATTTACAATCTTAAATACATTTCTCTCCTCCACCCCCATAACCACAGATGCCCAGAGAGCCTCAAATAGCCCGTTTCACAGATTTAAGTCAAATAGACAGATTTTTCACACAGCCTGAGGGGATGCAATCAACAGAGAAATATGTTTCACAAGACCCCACATAAGTCTCTGCAGAACGTGCTGGAGTGAGAGTGAATGAGGGAGAGTTAGGTGGTACGGTAAAGTAATCTTGTTTATGTACTCTTATATAATGATTTGCCAATGTTTGAGTCCTAAATCTGTCATTAAGTGACAGTAAAAGGTAACGAGTGGGAGAGCGAGCAGAGCCAGTACACTGTCACATCCACTGATGGAAGACTGTCCCCTCAGGCCCTCGTTTACATAACACACACACACACACACACACACACACACACACACACACACACCTCTCTCGCCATATTACCGATCCTGATCAACATAATGAATTCAGAATGATGTTGTAAACAGGAAGACGGGCTACATCCTTCTACAATGAGCTTTGTGGATTATGCTGTTCTACTAGCTACAAGCAGAGCCATGTATTTAGATGTATGGCTCTGGAGTCATGGAAGCTTGCAGAGGAAATGCGCACTCATGTACCTAGAACTGTTCCAATATCTGGACTGAGGGATGTCGCTTAAGATTGCTTTGTGAAGCAGTAGATTTGGATTTATCATAGTAAATGTTAGGCTCTGTTGCCGTACCTTTTTTTTATTTCATTTAGGTGAATAGTTGCTCTGTCTTTGAAGATAGTGGTTGATAAAGCGTTTTACATTGTATGGGGTAATGCATCTCATTCACTACCAATGTGCAGCACCCACACTGGAATGGAGTACGAATGGGCTGTAAGATTATTCCTGTCTCAGACCCATCTGTGCACACACACTCACACTACAGCTTGCTCATCTAATCCCGCTCCCTGTGATTGTGTAGTGCTGGAGGGGACAGGGCTCTCTCGCTAGTCCGCCACTGCAATATACATTATATATCAGCTGTATTCACTGCTGCAGCGGCTAACTCTGCCATGCTAACTTCCTCTACAAAGCAGCTCCTCGGGGGAATCTGTAAGATGGAGTGCTATTTAAAATGTAATGGTGTCTTACTCTCTCGGCCTGATAGTTTTGGTTTACTACATGTTCTTTTTAGATTGCCTTTTAAAAGCCGTTGACTTAATGTAACAACACAGATCTGCCTTAGTTTTTATTTTACACACTTAGGGTTGCGAAATTCCGGTAACTTTCCCAAAATTCCCAGGTTTTCCGAAAATCTATGTTGGAGGAATCACGTAATCCGGAGGGAGTAAGCAGAAAAAACGGAATCCTCCAACGTGGATTTCTGGAAAACTGGGGAATTTAAGGACAGTTACTGTAATTTTGCAACCATATACACACTCCATTATTTTCTCTCTAATTGTGCACTCCTTAAGGGCCCTCGACGGGAGGAAGTGGACTCAAGTGTCATAGTCTTGACACACTACAGTACATCCTCCTTCAGTCCCCATAAAACGAGTCTGTTTATCACAGACTTTAATTACAACACTCACTCAAGGTCACACTCCATTTCCTTTGACCCACTTTAGAGAGGCCTTGAAATCACCTGGTGTGAGGAGTTGTTTAGATTCTTCTTCTTATCACTCCCTTCACTTATTAACCAGTCCATGGGCTGGGAGGGGGCTGGACTGGGTTGGACTAGACTGGGCAGACAGGTTAACCAGTTGTATGGAGCTTAGGCGCACACACCTCTTCCCAGTCAAACAGCTTTTCCCTGGAACGCTTCAAGGCACGGAGGGAGGGTCAAGAGGGGTGTGTGGGCAGTGTGCTAAGCTGATGTGGGAGCTGTGTAATCAGTCCTTTTCATGCTCTGTGTGTGTGTACGTTTTTACATGTGTTTGTGTGTGCGTGCGTCAGTGTGGGCCCATGCTAGGGGAAAGCCCTCCACCACATTCTGTGTGTAAATCAGGGCTGAGACCTGGCTGTGTCTACAGGTATAATTACCTCTGAGTCATCCTGTTCTCATGGACCCTTCTAGAGGGGTGCTGTGCCCTGGGATGCTCCCCTGTGGCTACTCTGAATGATTAGTCCCTGTATGGCTGGCTAGAATGTGTGTGTGTGGGCGCTGTGTCAGAGTGAGGACAGTCTCTCCAGTGAAATTGGATGATTACTGTGTTTAATGGTTCTTCAGTTTGTAGTTCAGACTGTCTGATTGTCTCCTTCAGTCTTATTAACCTTGAGACCTGGGCCCGGTTTCCCAAAGCATCTTAAGTTAATCTTCTGTTAACAGTCTGCTTTACCACTTCCACGTTTATTAACATTGATTAGTTAAGGTGTCAGAGAGGCATCTTGTCTGTTCCACTTGGTCTGACTCATTTCTAACCCTGTGTCTGTCTGTCTGTCTGTGTCTCCCCTCTCCAGGATGATGCCCGCCAGCTGTTTGCCCTGTCGGGGGCTGCTGAGGAGCAGGGCATCCTGCCAGACGACCTGTCCAATGCCATGCACCGGCTGTGGGCCGACCTAGGGGTGCAGGGCTGCTTCACGCGCGCCCGCGAGTACCAGCTCAACGACTCAGCTGCCTAGTGAGTAACGACCACCACCACTCTGCCCACTTGGCTACGTACCTGTGCCAGGCTCATAGTCTACTTTGTCATTGGCCTCCTCATCTCCCTGTCACTGCTGGGTCTCTATCTATCCTTGATCACACACCTTTTTGAGGCGTGTTTAAATAGCCTGGGCTGTGCTTTTACTGGATTTACCTTCTGAAATCTGGGGGCAAAGAGTTTTGTGGAAGCAGCAGCAGCAGATCTGCGGGTTCTGATACTGATGGCTTCACAGCACAGTGACCCCTCAACTCCCCCCTTCCATCCCTCACTCGGTCTTCCATCGATATCTTAAGGGGATTAAAAGATCAAGGAAGTGTGCGCTACGTGTTATCGCTTCATTGAGAAACCAATTGCTTTTCAAATAGGGGTTAGCACGGCTCTGAACTTCCAGGAATTTTCCCATGCCTAATTTCCCTCGAATCAATTTCTGAAGAGAGCACCAGTTCCTGAGATAATAGATTGGATCAATCCACTTTGATGATGTAAGTAAAGAAAGAACCAACATGTTGTTTACAAACTGATGACTCATGCTTGTTTAGAGAGTAGTTTACAGAGAACAGCATGTACCTTAACTGTAATGTGATAATATTTTGAATCACTTGTATAGTCCCCTGCACAGTACCATGCCCTCAATATGTTTTCTATGTTGTTGTCAGCCACCCATGCTAGTAGAGCTGTCCTGTACTGTCATGTCCTGTCACGCTGTGTGTGGGAACGCCCCTGAATAGCAGCAAGAGCTCTGAAGTCAGGTTGGAGGACAGTGTGGTTTCACAGTGACTGCTTACATATGCAGTCACTTCACCTCTCCCGCTTTCCCTCCCTCTCTGCTGGTCATGAGGCAGCCATCAGGAAAATGTAGCTTGAATGAGGAAGTCACTGGGGTTTCCAGGGATTGCTGGCAGTTTGCCTGGCCATGTTAAAGGCCATGTTATGCCTGGTTGTAGCCTTTAGACAAGGGCTATTAAAATACTGTCTCCAGGTCTGTAGTACTGCTGCTTTTCTTTTCTAATGTACCAGACTCTTAATTAATGTAATTTATTGGCCAGAGAGACCACTCACCTGGTGTTCCAAGTCTGAATCAGTCCCTGAAACCAGCAGTGCGATTTACCTCTGTGCCCTGATTTGCAAGGCAATGCTTTAGAAGTTGTCTGTTGTTTCAAGGTTCTATGCTCTTGTTCTCACAGTGATCAGTTAATAGGTGCCACAGTGTAAGGCTATGCTATTGTCCCAGGTTAGTCCTTTATAGTTCTTCCCATTGTACTTATTCCTCTATGTGGAACAACAACACGTCTCATGTCACTTCCCATATAGGTTTAGTCATGCTTCTAATGTGTGACCAAAGCATAGCCTGCCTACAATACCGCCGACTATATGCTCTCACTAGAGCCTCTCCACAGAGCCACTCATTAACTCTGAGGCCTTTAACTGAGGAGTCATTCCATGTCATTGCAGCAAGCCATGACACCCGTCATATCAGATTGTTCTGAAATTGTTTATGTAGTTCGAAAAAAAGGTAAGATTGGCGTTCCCGAAACATTATTTTGTTTAAATGTAATTTTATCTCCGGGAAATTAAGCTAATTGATTGCACCCAAATTTTCCATTTATAGGATTCAGATCAAATCCAAAAATATAGTACCTGACATCGGATTTGGACCAAACTTCTTCATACCAATGAGTAAGACATGAGGAAACGCAAAAAATATATAAAAGCCATCCAACAGACCCCCCACACCCCATGCCAATCCCACCCCAACAACCAGTATACAGTATCAGTTCTCTAAGTAGTGTGAAGCTGCGGCTTGGAGTATTGCTTCTCCATACTATGTCATGTATTCCCTGTGAATCTGGTAATGTTTTTTTTCCCCTGTTCAGAGAAATTTGATCAATGAAGTCGTTATTTACCATGAAGTAGTGTGAAAATACCAGGTTTTGACCACTAGATGCCGCTGTTCTTGCTATACCGCCACACTCTTTTATCTTGTGTTTATTGAATAGATCGCAACATTTTCTTTGCAACTTTGGGTAGAAAGCTAATAGGTTTGGCTCATGATGACAGTAAATTGTGTGGTCATCCTCACAATTCAAGCCAGTCCTCAATGAAAGCAAATCAGTTTATCGTTCTTTTACACTTCATCTGTGTCCGGGAAATGGACCCTTTGTGTGTGATTTATTCCCTTAAAAAAACATACAATATGTCATTTATATATACAGTACCAGTCAAAGGTTTGGACACACCTACTCATTAAAGGGTTTTTCATTATTTTTACTATTTTCTACATTTTAGAATAATAGTGAAGACATCAAAACTATGAAATAACATATGAATCATGTAGTAACCAAAAAAGTGTTAAACAAATCAAAATATATTTTATGTTTGAGATTGTTCAAAGTAGCCACACTTTGCCTTTGACAGCTTTGCACACTATTGGCATTCTCTCAACCAGATTCATGAGGTAGTCACCTGGAATGCATTTCAATTAACAGGTGTGCCTTGTTAAAAGTTAATTTGTGGAATTCCTTTCCTCCTTAATGCGTTTGAGCCAATCAGTTGTGTTGTGACAAGGTAGGGGTGGTATAGCCCTATTTGGTAAAAGACCAAGTCCATACTATGGCAAGAACAGCTCAAATAAGCAAAGAGAAACGACAGTCCATCATTACTTTAAGACATGAAGGTAAGTAAATCCGGAAAATTTCAAAAAAGTTGAAGGTTTCTTCAAGTGCAGTCGCAAAAACCATCAAGCCCTTTGATGAAACTGGCTCTCATGAGGACCGCCACAGGAAATGAAGACCCAGAGTTACATCTGCTGCAGAGGATAAATTCATTAGTTAAATGCACCTCAGATTGCAGCCCAAATAAATGCTTCACAGAGTTCAAGTAACCGATACATCTCAACATCAACTGTTCAGAGGAGACTGCGTGAATCAGGCCTTCATGGTCGAATTGCTGCAAAGAAACCACTACTAAAGGACACCAATAAGAAGAAGAGACTTGCTTGTGCCAAGAAACACGAGCAATGGACATTAGACCGGTGGAAATGTGTCCTTTGGTCTGGAGTCCAAATTGGAGATTTGTGGTTCCAACCGCCGTGGCTTTGTGAGACGCGGTGTGGGTAAATGGATGATCTCCGCATGTGTGGTTCCCACCGTGACGCATGGAGGAGGAGGTGTTATGGAGTGGGGGTGCTTTGCTGGTGACACTGTCTGTGATTTTATTTAGAATTCAAGGCACAGTTAACCATTATTGCTACCACAGCATTCTGCAGCAATACGCCATCCCATCTGGTTTGGCCTTACTGGGACTATCATTTGTTTTTCAACAGGACAATGACCCAACACACCTCCAGGCTGTGTAAGGGCTATTTGACCAAGAAGGATAGTGATGGAGTGCTGCATCAGATGACCTGGCCTCCACAATCCCCCGACCTCAACCCAATTGAGATGGTTTGGGATGAGTTGGACTGCAGAGTGAAGGAAAAGCAGCCAACAAGTGATCAGCATATGTGGGGACTCCTTCAAGACTGTTGGAAAAGCATTCCAGGTGAAGCTGGTTGAGATAATGCCAAGAGTGTGCAAAGCTGTCAAGGCAAAGGGTGGCTATTTGAAGAATCTCAAATATAAAATATATTCCATGTGTTATTTCATAGTTTTGATGTCTTCACTATTATTCTACAATGTAGAAAATAGTAAAAAATAAAGGATAACACTTGAATGAGTAGGTGTGTCCAAACTTTTGACTGGTACTATGTGTGTGTGTATATACAGTGGGGGAAAAAAGTATTTAGTCAGCCACCAATTGTGCAAGTTCTCCCACTTAAAAAGATGAGAGAGGCCTGTAATTTCCATCATAGGTACACATCAACTATGACAGACAAAATTAGATTTTTTTTCCCAGAAAATCACATTGTAGAATTTTTAATGAATTTAGTTGCAAATTATGGTGGAAAATAAGTATTTGGTCAATAACAAAAGTTTCTCAATACTTTGTTATATACCCTTTGTTGGCAATGACACAGGTCAAACGTTTTCTGTAAGTCTTCACAAGGTTTTCACACACTTGCTGGTATTTTGGCCCATTCCTCCATGCAGATCTCCTCTAGAGCAGTGATGTTTTGGGGCTGTCGCTGGGCAACACGGACTTTCAACTCCCTCCAAAGATTTTCTATGGGGTTGAGATCTGGAGGCTGGCTAGGCCACTCCAGGACCTTGAAATGCTTCTTACGAAGCCACTCCTTCGTTGCCCGGGCGGTGTGTTTGGGATCATTGTCATGCTGAAAGACCCAGCCACGTTTCATCTTCAATGCCCTTGCTGATGGAAGGAGGTTTTCACTCAAAATCTCACGATACATGGCCCCATTCATTCTTTCCTTTACACGGATCAGTCGTCCTGGTCCCTTTGCAGAAAAACAGCCCCAAAGCATGATGTTTCCACCCCCATGCTTCACAGTAGGTATGGTGTTCTTTGGATGCAACTCAGCATTCTTTGTCCTCCAAACACGACGAGTTGTTTTTACCAAAAAGTTCTATTTTGGTTTCATCTGACCATATGACATTCTCCCAATCCTCTTCTGGATCATCCAAATGCACTCTAGCAAACTTCAGACGGGCCTGGACATGTACTGGCTTAAGCAGGGGGACACGTCTGGCACTGCAGGATTTTAGTCCCTGGCGGCGTAGTGTGTTACTGATGGTAGGCTTTGTTACTTTGGTCCCAGCTCTCTGCAGGTCATTCACTAGGTCCCCCCGTGTGGTTCTGGGATTTTTGCTCACCGTTCTTGTGATCATTTTGACCCCACGGGGTGAGATCTTGCGTGGAGCCCCAGATCGAGGGAGATTATCAGTGGTCTTGTATGTCTTCCATTTCCTAATAATTGCTCCCACAGTTGATTTCTTCAAACCAAGCTGCTTACCTATTGCAGATTCAGTCTTCCCAGCCTGGTGCAGGTCTACAATTTTGTTTCTGGTGTCCTTTGAC